GATCCATGAGGGGGGGGGTGGGGTGTCGCAGCCGATGTAACAATTCAGTGTTTTTTCTCCTTCGCAGACAAGTCTGGTACAATTAACCGACCCCGGAGGGTGAAAGGCTTGGTTGGCCCGGGCGACTCACGACCCGGGATTTGATCCCCGACCGCTCCGCGTGGCAAGTCTGTGACTTGCCACTCCACACTTCCGCCTCTAAAATGACCTGATAACGTGAACAAAAGACTTCGTTTTTCCTTGGAGGTGGGACATCGAGCTTCACCGCTAGCAGTGTGCACTGGTTTATTCGCGTTCGCTAAAGCAAGATCATCGAACGCATTTTCTTAAGGCCGCTTGACCTTACTGGTCAAACCTAGAGCTTTCAAACCCTTGATGTTGGCGCAATCAACCTTCATCCAAGTCTTTGAATGGTTTGGCAATGGCTCGATTCTTCAGTACTTTGTTATGAAAGCTCTGGTCCGTAACGCATGCCTCTCTCGTTCTCACATTCCCCCATTTTCCCAGTCTTGAAACGACGAAACCATAGCTGTAACTGCCTAATAGACTGAGCGTTGTATATTGGATATTTCCGTACACTATATGATGAGGATCGGTGACCCGCTGTTCCTTGTTTGAAGGCGTGCCATATACATACGCCTGGTCGAGGTTTTGGACTCAACGTGTACACGAACAACAATTTTAGCCACAGAATCTACCGTTTCCCTGATATAAATGTAAAACTGTGGCTTTTCGTTTGAGACAGCCAAACGAAAAGCACAGTGAACAGTTTTGCACAGTTTTGAACAAGTACTCAGGCATTGTGTGACATTATGCTTCATCATAGAAACAATGATACAAGATGAGCCGACATTTCTTTTCAGCCTTCTTAATAGAATCATTTACAGGCAGCAGGCATAACGCCCGGACAGCTCATGATGGCTTTACGCATATGCTCGTGCCTTAGTGCTTCACTTCGACTAGACCCTGACGCTTTCCGTAAGTGAACACAACTTTCTGAAACACTGGAGATGACGTTTGAAGGTGGCGAGCTTTCAATTGGAAACTGTACTGGCTTGCGACTTCGTTTGTCTTCAGAAGACCACTACTCGGGAAGTGAGTGGTGTAGTGGCAAGTGGAATAACTTAACACACAACCGCGTTCCCGAGACTCGAATCCTGGGTTCGTGCTTAGTCCCGTTCCAGACCCAAAGCCTCCATCCCTCGGGGTGGGTTGAATTGGTAACCAGACCTTGTCTACGGAGATAAGAGTACGACTTGTACATCGTGGCCTCGCCAAGTCATCGTAATAGACCACAATCGCATTCAAACGCCACTGCGAATGTACCGAATTGAAGGGGCGATCAAGAAGTGAAATCAAAGTCTACAAGGAACGAAATCCTAAAATTGCTCTAAATATGAGTCCTTCGGCAAACTCTGTAAGCAATTCAGAAGCTTACCACAATTTTGAAACTGGCTTTCTATTACACAACCAGAGCATATGGACATGAAGCGACATTGGCGCAAGAAACAGACACACGAATAAAACGATCTGCGTATTCGACCCTCTCTAAATTTAACGAAAATCACAACCTCAGTAACTTCGATTAGATGCTATAGGAAGCCACACTGAAGGTCCACAATTGGCTCTTATCACAACAAAATTCGGCAAAGTCCGCTGTGTCCCTAACGATTCCCGTGTCGGGAAGTGTTGGTTTGAGCTCGCAGTCGTTTAGGTATGTCTGGCCTTGTTCGAATGAGCGATGTTAGGTATTCGGATCCGTCTTTCTACAATTCGAGTAGTTGGACGGAGATGGAGTGCAGGAGTTATATGGGACTGTTTTTGTTAATGGATCTTATGGCGGTATATACTTCATTTGCTCGTTCTTTAGCAAAGAATCAACAGTAGCCAAAAATTCACCTCGACGCTCAAGTAGAGATCTATTTGAAGGCCTCGCTCCCTACTAATTTTGGTCAAGCTAATCTGTTGGATGTCACAAATCTCAGATCCAGATTAAAAATATAACATTCCCCACTGTTCGACTAAATTCATTCGAGAAAAGTAACCAAATTAAATTAAGAACATACATCCTGTTTAACCCCAAACGAGGCTGAATTGTGTGAGACCGGGGTGGAGTTAAGACCACTGGCCCAGCCTGTATGTGGATTCATGGAAAGGCAGGTACTCACTTTACTTATTCATCAATTATTTGTTGATTGCCATGACCACAGTGCCAGCTTATTGTAAAGTAACGTAAGCACTGCAGTTTCCGTGTACTACACACAGAATTAAAGTTTACTATCTTCTTATTATGTATTGGACTTATGCTGTTTACAAGAAATGCTTTCATGCCCCGTCAAGCTTCTTTTAAGGAACTATCTGTATGGGTAATTCGTTTGCATGCATTTTGATCCTGCTTTCGTCCTATGTGCCATCCAACTGTTGGAATTTGCTAGCGTGATCCAGTGAGCTTGATTTTGACTTTAAAATCGGTAAATCAAAATTATTATGAAGGAGTTATGGATTTTTTAAAGTGATCCCTCAAGTTATCAATGAGGTTACCTATAAGTTTTAGCAGCATTGCGGACCGTGCCCTTAACTAACGAGGATCCCATTACCTATTCGGGTTTCGAAAAAATGGGGTAAATCAATCATTAAATCTGTAATAATTTTATCAGTGATGAGTGCAACGAACCTAAAGGCCATTGAAAAATGCCAGATAATCAGATAAATCCGTGAACTTACCTCTCGCAAATCGCACGTTGTAGCCACGCAATGGTTAAAGATCAATTCATCTCAGTTTTTTTCTTAGATGTAGGGTTGTAGGCTTTCAAAGGTAATGGCAGCCACTAAAGGAGCTAGGTGAAGTAATTGCTTTGACGCACATAAGCGCTTTACCTTCATTCAAAATTGAAGAGGCAGTAATTAATTGAGTACTCTCATCAGGCTGTTTTTGAATAAGAAATGAAAAAGAAGGAGGCCCGAGCGCTTGAATCAATGTGGCGTATACCGTTTATGCTCTGCGAGTCTTTGAATAAGAAGGTAGTCATATTGTTTGCGCAAATTCACGCTATCGTCGCACATGATTCTTATTCGAAAGATGATCATCAGTCGCCGATCCCTCACAGAGTGGCAATAGCCAACGATCGCCGGAGAATCACACATAGAAGAGTAAAAGCTGAAACGTCGCACACTACGTTTCTACCTCTTCGCAGGTCTAAAGTTTTGCTGTCACATGAAAGACAGAGATTTGACCCTCCCCAATAGAGGGAGAAAGCCGTTTCAGCTGCTCGACTCATTTTGGCATTCAGGAAGCTGTTCAGATAACATCAACAAAAGTACATCAGAACCTAAACTTAAAGTTATTACTAAATAGTCCATTTGCTCATAAAACGATTTGGCATACTGGAACTTGAACTCGCTCGCCTATAATAATCGTGAAAGTGAGACAGAAACTCCCTCTAAATTTCTTCCAAGAAAGAAGAGCGTGGCTGCCATGAAGCACGAAGGCAAGAGTACAGCTGATTCTCAAAGACTGACCTAGAAATGAAATAGGTCTTTATGCAATATGTATTCATCACATATGTATTACTAGCTCTCGCTGTTTTTCAAGCACGCAGTAAGCACTGGTGAATATCACCTCATATACACAGGGTGCGCCACAAACAATGAAAATGCGACAGGGCAACTTTCTCTTAGTCTAGATGAGCTGGACAATTCCTTAGAACCAAAAATGCAGCGCATTGTTCACGAGTTCATGCCTAATTCGTGAACATTCGCCCATTCCAGAAAAAACGCTGAGTTTATAGTACGCGGATTGAGAAGGCATTGCATAACCATCGACTGTGGCACACGCTGTGGGCGCTCCGGACTGCGCTTCTTTTCTGAGTGACCTTTTAAAAAGATCTGCCAAAAAAAGATTCTTCCTATCAAGCCACCTCGGCCCTCCAGAACGACATGTCAGTCATACCCCTCCATCGAAGTCACATCTGGATGAGCTGACCCTGGCAACCAGTTTCAGCTGATTGAACTAGCAAAATTGGTTTTTGGCACGGAATTTAGCACCACCTATGCCTTTGCATGGAGACTGTACGTTCGTAAAGGTCCAGCATGATTTTAAAGTGAGCATCAGGCCTAGGATACAAATTGGCTCTACTAATTCTCGGAGAATCTCCTTGATTCTCCTTCCTCTCGTAACATTCGGCAAAGTGTGGTGCGTTAACAACTAACCTGCAACTAACTTCTATCGCCACCATCCTTAGATGTGCTGCCAAGTCGTCCTCAGTAATACGCACCCTCCTCGTTCAGTAACCATTGTAATCAAATTCAGCTTTTGGTGGATATCTAACGGATAGTACTCGGATGTGGGCACCAAAACGCTGATAATTTTGCATGCGAAAACCTTGTACATTGAAGTTCCATAATTTAGGAAAACAGCGGCAGTATCCCTCAACAAAACTCGTAGAGCAATCGTAGATTTGGATAAATCACAAGGACATTATACAACAGGTTTACACTACAACACGCAAAATATTAGGAACAAGCAGAGAAAAGTATTCTGAACTATCGGTCCAAAACATTGGTATGTCTTAGGTGTTGTCGCTATAACTTTGGCGGCACCCTGTATGAGAACCATCACCTTGCTGTATTGTTTATTTTTCATGTAATGTCGTTCTGTCCACTCGCCGACGGATTAAAAACAGAACCCGGCGGGGGGGTCGAGTGCAGCACTTCAGTTGATGTCACGATTATGATAACACTCATACGGCTCTATATGAACCCTGATCAAAAGCAAACCGGCCTCAATTCTATCATGGTGCTGACGTGCAGGTCGAGGGGAGTCAGTAACGGAGGGGGGGGTAGGGAAAGAGAAGGGCAAGGAGGGGGAAGAACTGGGGAATGGCAGAGGGAGAAAAGAAAGAAGTGACGGCACCAGCTCCCAAGATCGACCGGTTTGATCCGGTTTCGAGGCATAAGTTATAAGTGATGTGATTAATACTAATCGAGCGGCCTAGATAACAGCCAAACACCTACTCAGAACGACTTCTGTCACTTTCGCAGACGGGCTTCAGTGGCAAGCTCGCGTGCAGATGGGGGGGGGAGATAAGGGGAAGAACAGAAACACAAGGAACGACAGATCGCGGCGTAACCACGGGTCAATGTGGGCGGTTAACTATATATGCTGACGACAACAGCGGAGTTTTGACGTTTTGCGTCGCGTTTGACCGGCGTGTGCTTTCAGTGTACGTGCAGTGCGCAATAAGTTACGGTAGTATAAGTGCGCCGAGATTCACTTTTACGAATAAGACATACTATACTTACGACAGGTGTTGCATCATTTGACGGGTACAGCCGCAAATATACATCGTTGGTTTTGGAGCGCAAACGAGGCTGTTTCGATTTGTTACATTGCAAGACACTCAGAGTTGCTGGAAGTAATGTCTATTGAGTAGTCGCAAGTTCTATTAGGCTGTTATGGCCAAGAAGCGACAGTACCGATCTCGCTTTCCGGGCAAGTGCGGCTCCAAAAGTTTACGCTACGGGCACGCATTTCATTCCACTGCAAGCTTTCATGGTGATAACTTACGCATGGCTTAATACATTCACACTACTATACGTGTTAGCCGTGTTAGCATATATCAGGCCAATATGACGCTGCCAGCTTTAGCATTGAGTTTTGACTTGCCTTCGTTTGTTTTATTAAAAGAAATAAGTCCAAAATTGTATTATAAACAAAAACCGAAGGATTAGCCCAGTATTATACAGTATTCCGTGTTTCAACGAGGCAAAATCTCAAAAGTGCATGGCGAAGCATCGCTGAGTCAGCTTCCCTCACTGTCGCTGTGGCCTTGAAATTATTATACGGACGCGCTCGTATGTGACACATATTGTTAGCTCTATGTACGGTGCTACCATTCTAACTCGGGGTTCCATCCTTTCATTAGAAGATGATCCAAACCACAAACACCTCCCCCGTGAATAGGCAATCTCGATAGTGGGCGACTAA